ATTGGCCGGAAAACTTGGTGTTGACGCAAAGTGATTTCTGCCCAGTGCTCTGAATGTTAACGTGAAGAAATTCAAATAAGCGCGGGTAAACGGCGGGAGTAACTATGACTCTCTTCTGGTAGCCAAATGCCTCGTCATCTAATTAGTGACGCGCATGAGGGGGATGATGAGCACTACTGACCTCTCACCTCCATTGGCTGCAACGCAGCGGTCTGGTCTACAACTCCGCAACAGGAAGGTAGCCTGGCCAACGGTTGATTCTCCGGGAGCAGGACCAACAGCTGACGATGGTGTTTCAACCGACAAAAGCGAAAAGAACGTTACTGTTGGCGTTCAAGCCGTCACTCCTCTTACTCAACAGTCCGAAATAAGTTCTTCGGAACGAATTAAAGGACCGAGTAGAGGCACCTCTGCTTGTCAGAGAAAGATAGGATTGTCCTGGAAGGGCAAAGAAGAGGAAGAGCTTCGGAGGTTGGTCGGTATTTATACTGGCCAGACCGGGATCATCTCCTGGTCAAAAATCGAAGAAGCTTGGAATCAGTTAGCGGACGTCTCCGTAAGGAGCAAAAGCAGCCTTAGTAGTAAGTGGAGGGACTTAAGATCTAAACCCCACTTGCTAAGTTCGACTGGAGCTCGAGACGACTCATCTGCGGGCGTCTCGGCCACGATAGAAGAAGAACTCGTAAGATCGAATTCACCCGTTGACCCGCCGAGTAGTACCGTTGTTGCAGATACCCATGAAGAAAAATCGGGTAGCAAAAGAGGAAAGAAGAAGAACAGCAACAACAGAAGAAATGGATCGCCCCCTGTCAATGTAAATATTGTAAATAATAATAATTATAATAATTTTATTAATAATAACAATAACGACAGTGGAGGCGACAAGGACGAGGGTGAAGGAGGCGATAAAGCAGAAATCGCTTTACCAGAGATTTCAGAAGATGATATACAACCAGATCTCAGAGCCTTATTTCATAGAAATTTGAAAAAGGCCAGAAAAGAAGGTTGTGATGGATTCCGAAAATCGTTGAAAAAGGTAAATATAAAAAGCACTGACCCCTTAATGAATAAAGTAGATAGGCTCATTAAGGAAGACTTTGTACAGAGGAAGATCGATAAACCAACATGGAACCAACTATCTATTGGAGTGTATGCTGGCGCAATGACAGTAGAAGTGGTGGCCAATCGATCAACCGTTGAAATACAAAGAAGAACAGCAAATTGGTTTAAAGCAACATCCATGGAAATGGACAAACTACGAAAAACCATTGGAAAGGCTACAGCTGAACTTGGAAGAAGGAAGAACAATGTGGAATTAGCACCAACGCCCAGGCAAGTCTCTAACATCCGACTACTTGAGAAAAGATATCGTTGTTCCTCGAACGACGACATCAATTCACTTGTAGAGAGACTTAAACACCGGCTCCGGCTATTATCGGAAAGAATAGATCTTAGAAAGGCGGATGAGAACCGAATTAAGATCAGGCGCTCTCCCCCTAAGATGATATTCATTGATAATAGTGGTGAAGAAAACACCAATGCCACGGATATCCATAAAATCCGTAGGTATTGGAAAAACATTGTAGGTGTGAAAAAGGACTTCCAAGAGCATGATCAGCATTTAGCAAATTGGAAACAATCTATATCCAACGTTTCTGAAGGTGGACGCATAGGAGATGATCTCACGACGGAAATGTGGCAAGAGGTCATTAAGAATCTAAAGCCCTGGAAGGCCAGTGGACCAGATGGGATACAAGGTTTCTGGTGGAAGTCATTCCCCAGTGCCAACACCTATTTGCACAAGCTGGTATATCACCACCTCACTACAGGAACTCCCTTACCACAAGGGTGGATAGCCAATGGTCGAACAGTCCTACTATATAAAGCAGGTTCCAGAGATGATCCGTCAAATTTCAGACCCATCACTTGTCTGAACACCTGCTACAAAATTCTCACGGGATACATAGCTATATACATGAGCCGGTATATAAATGAGCGTAATATGCTGCCGATTGAGCAGAGAGCATTGCAAAAGAATGTTTGGGGCTGCACACACGCACTCATAGTCGATCAGACGGTGGTTGCTGACGCATACTATCAAAAGCAGAGACCACTCAGTGTCGCATGGATTGACTATGCAAAGGCATTCGATTCTGTACCGCACAAGTACATACTCTGGGTACTTGAAGCAATGCAAGTTCCTTCCCCGTTGAGAGCTCTGATAAAGAGTCTGATGACACAGTGGAGAGTGAAATACGAGGTTAAAGCAAAACGAGGCAAGTGTATTCGAAGCCAGTTTCTGAAGATTAAATCTGGAGTCCTTCAGGGCGACAGCTTTAGTCCACTTTTGTTTTGTTTGAGCATGGCTCCGTTAAGTCATGCCCTCAATCATCTTGGTCTTCGATACGAAACGGCCTGCGGAAGAAAAGAAAACCTCACACTATCTCTCACGCATCAATTCTACATGGATGACTTGAAGCTGTACGCCAGCTCAAGAGAA